TAAAGTCAAGTTTTTCTCATTTTCTCCGGCTGCCTTTTCCTGCTGCCACCATTCAACAATCAGTACAATAAGTGGGGCGACATGTCATTCTGGCTGTGAATGGGCTGCCATTGTCACAGCTCCTGTTCAATGTTCTCTCGCCCGTTTTTGCCATTCCTGTTTCCGTTCCCTCTGTCTCCCTCTCTCTCTCTCTTCCCCCCTCTCTCTCTCTCTCCTCTCTTCCTTTGCCGTTCGGTCGCGGCACGCTCCGTCCGTGGCGGCAATCGTGCACGGCGGACGCGCCGTTTTTGCCGCCCCGCGCCGAGATGGACGCACGCGCGCAAAAAGCCGCAAATATTCATCATCGGTGCGGCCCGAAAAAGGACGCGTTCCCGTGCCGCGGTAAAAAGCCGTCGGTCAGGGGCGGGGGCGGTAAAAAGGTGACCGTTTGAGGGCGTCAGACAGCGGACCACGACAGGAGGAGGAGGGTGAAGTGCCAGAGAGACGAACGGGGAAGTGGAGGAGAAATATGTGAGAAGAAGAGCCGTAACGTGGTGGTAACAAGGACGAATGGAGGGAATAAATCAAATAGAGCGGTAGGCCGGGCGTGCTGAGTGGTAGGTAACTATTCACCTTAATTGGACCACACGAATCACATGAACCGACGCATCACCCTTTTAAAATCATAGTCGATAGCTTCGGGCACCTGCTTATGAGCGTTTGTAGATGATCATTTGCTTTTTCTATTCCAGTTAGGGTAATTTTTCCGAGCCCTGACCCGAGAGTCCATGTTCACGGTGTCATTTTTATTCTACCCAGCCATCGATGCGCCTCTCGCTTATGTAACGTTGTTTTGAGAAAACCTCCCGTCGCTTTCCCTCATCACCGCTCGATTCTGACACCCTAGGTAGTCGGCTCGGCACTCGACTGTGTGCCTGTCTGTCTGCTGCGGGCGGGGGCGGGGGCGGCTTACGGCGCCGTCCGTCAGTTGACCAGCCTCCTGGCACGGTTTACTGGCCGCTGGATGTGCTGTTTGGCCCCGCAGTGAGCGCTGGAGGCGGGGTGTGGGCACGGGCCGCCGTGACCTGACCAGGCCCCGGGGCCGGCCGTACCGAGAGGCGCTGCTTTGTGGGCCGGGAGGGGTTGGGGTTGTTGTTTGGGCAACAGTTTTATGAGAAGGGAGTGGGCCGGGGTGGAGGTGGTGACAGGAGAGGTCATGCACAGACGTGGGAGGATGAAACATGCAGGGTTTTGAGTGCTTAAAGCTGGAAGCTGAAGCAAGTGGAGAACATTCATGACTACTGGCTAAAAACAAGGCGTTAACCTGCGGTACACGCAGTTTATCCGTATCGTATAATTACACAGGATGCAGGATGTATCACAGGATTGCACAGATACTCCTGGGCGCTGTCTACGACATGTTAGAGCTATGTAATTAACTAGTATGTACGGTGTTCCTAGCAGCTACATCTGTGAGCGCATGTTGACATCAGTGTCAGTCACGTGTCACGGGTCACCGGCGCACGCGGGTCCAGCCATGGCCACGTGCCCGCCTCCAGCCCTCGTCTCACCCTCTGACGCTGCCGTGGCGGCCGATCGGGCCCGTTTCTAATCTCCACGCGGGCCCGAGGAATGCGACGCTCGCTGGCCAAGCTGCTGGACGGGTCATTGACTCCCGCCGCGAGCGACGAGCGCCATTCTCCCTGCGCCGCCCGCCGCCCGCCGCCCGGCGTCTTCGTGGGCTTTCTCTTTTTTCGGGAGTGGGCCCCGTACCGGCGCGGCCGCGGCCATGGATTGGCGAGGGCTCCGGCCCGGGGCGGGCGGAGGATCTAACGGTGCGGGACGGTCGCCGGGCGGACGGTTAGACCGCCAGGTGAGCTGAAATGGATGGCGGCGGGGCGGAGGACCGGCAGACCGGGGGTGACGGGTGCCGGGCTGGGCGGCCGGGGCAGTATATCTCCCTACACTGCTCTCAGAACAGGTGTCTTGTGAGACAGAAGATACACTGCTAAAGGACGCCTGAGATCGTGTTTTCTGAATTGAGATGACCCACGCAGGGATCTGTTATCCTGGGTGGACAGGTAAAGGTAAATGTTAACTGAGACGAACACTGGTGTTGGCGTCTCTCTTGGTTCTTTAGGTTGATTTTGTTGGCGTTTTCTCCCGCCTGCGTGACGCCGAAGCTGACGGTCCAACACAGCCCTGATTGTCGAAGGACACTTCACTTCAAAGGTGGACACTTCACTATTGGTGGCCCAGCCGGGTGGTGTACGGACCGGACCGGTTCAGACGTGAGATGGGGCAGATGTCAGCCCTCCAGGAACCAGTGGGAGGAGCGGTGATTGGACGACATCCTGTGTGTCCCGAGCTCATCACCGGTGAACAAATGTCAGCCAAAGTCCCCCGAAAGGTCAGCGAGCCTTAGCGGGCCGGCTCGGACGAGATCCTCAAATGCCACTAATGAGATTTGGGCCTCGCCAAGGTGACTGTCTGAACGACCATTTTGAACCGTTTGGTTGTGCGGAAGACCCATCGAGTCCAGTCCACTTCCGGGTAATACCTGGCAGTCGGATGGACTGACATCCCTGCGCTGTCATCTGTCAGTAATACCTGCCAGTCGGATGGACCGACATCCCTGCGCTGTCATCTGTCAGTAAAATACCCTTCACCGCCCATGTCCGTCGGGCTCCCGTCACTACCTGCCGTCTTCGGTCATGGCAATTAGACGGAGTGTCAATGCTGGCCAGACCGGCCTCTGCAGTCTGCACCCGCCGCCGCCGCCGCCGTCTCGGGCGGTGACCCGACACAAACAGCCGCCACGCCGCCACGCCGCCACGCCGCCACGCCGCCACGCTGTCGTGCCGACTTCCGTAAACGGCGCTGGCCGCTGAGCAGCTCTGAGCGCTGACTCAGCGCAGCGCTGACCGCTGATAGCCGCCGATATCAGAGGTCAGCGCGCGATCGGTCAGCGAGAGGGAGCGGACCGCACTGAAGACCTTCAAAGTCCTCCGCGAATGGAGACACATGAGGCGCCCTCCGCAAGCCGTCCACAACAGGACGGGGGCGTAGTGGTAAACTGATCACGGATCATGGTCTGCGTCAGAGGGCTTGAAGGACTCTGTTTCGTTTAAATATTTGAAAGATGATGCTGATGGAAATCGAAGATGGTATCTGACCGTGTAATGACACTCAATTTGACTGACTTCCGCATAAGGGCTTTTCTCTAGACTTTGAAGATCCTCAAGTCTTTGAGATTCATGGTGCTTCTATTCACATTAAATTCAATCCATCCTTCAGCTCAACATTCAGGTCTGCCCTGCGCTCACTGCAATGCCCAATGCCCATCTCGTCCCTGAGTGGAGCCTCCCTGCGCGCGCCGGTCCGCGAGCGTCGTCCAGTCGGCGCTGCTGCTCTCCACGGTTCATGGCCTCCTCTCTCACCACGACAAACAAACCCCGCCGGCCGGCAGCCGTGCACCGCGCCGTGCACCGGTCACGTGACCTGCCGCCGGCCGGCAGCCCTGCACCACTCCGTGCACCGTGGCCGGTCACGTGACCTGCCGGGCACCAGACCGAGACATGGGCATATATGGCCTGGCGCGGGATGCACATTGCACACTGGCGCGGCGGTGGACACAGGCTCGTTACTTTGATAAGCCGCCCGGTCGGAAGCCGTCGGCTGAGATTAGACTCCGCCGCGCGGATCAGCTGGTCTCGACGTGGATAAGCGGCCCGGATAAAGTCCGTATCTGGGTGTAATTTGAGCGTGGCTGAGTGTGTGGTCCTGGGATGTCATGGCTCGTTTGGTAGCCTGCAGTTGAGGCTCAATGTCAACAAACGTCGCTCGGTGCCGCTGAGACGGTAACCGAGCCGCTGCGGCGCGTAACGGCTGGGACTGGCGCCTCATGGGGTGCGGGGGCGGGGATTAATTTGTCACATTAGTCGGGTGCGTGGAATGGTGACAAAGTCGGCCGATCCGTCTGTAATGTAGGACCGAATTGGTGGGCTTTAGAGGATCATCCGAGGCACAGTTTCAGACCTGTCAGCGATCTGCAAATGTGAAGCTACTGGAATTAACTTCCGTCTGAGAATTCACATCGACCAAAAAATGGCCGCCTTTCAACATCTCGATACCCACAATTCATTTTTATTGTACCTACAGATTATAGACCATAATTCAAGCATTTGATGCTTGACTAAAATGTTATTGAACAATTCTGAAAGCGACTTGCGAAACTCTCCAATCGCGATATCCAATTGCGATATCTCCAAAATTAGGGAAACTCTCGGATAATTTTCGCTGATCCGTCACCAGCGGAAAGCCGTTTATGTTCGAGGATGAGTTATCTGAACTCTTTCGTCGAACGGTGGCTGTCGGCGATTCGTTAACTGGTGGCAGTCTCATTCCTGGGACGTGTCGCGATGCCGCCGGCGGCTACAAGCTAACAACTCCGGCTGTTTGTCGGTGAAATGCCTGGCGATGTTCCGTGGTGATTTGTCCCCGGATTGATAAACACTGTCTGCCGACAGGAATCATGTGACGATGAGCTGGACTAGCTGTTGCCGGGTGGTACTAAAACAAACTCCTGATTGATGAAACTACTTGCCTGGAATTTGTAGGGCTATATTTGGATATTTGTCCTGAAGGAATCTGACAGGAGCTCGGCCTGAAAATATAATGAACGGGAAATGCCAACTTGTCATAAAGGGCTTGCGAGCTTCGGCTTTTGTCGGTTAACAGCTTCAACTCTTTGACTTCACAGAAGCCATTGAGGCTTATTAAGGTCCATTGCTCCTCATCAAGCCCCGGATGAACGTAGATCAGGGCTGTTGTGGCCTGGTTAATCATGTCCTCAATTCAGCTTGATTGAGTCGCTACTTTGATGTCCAAATTGGGACATCTGAACGTATGATTGTTGCTTTCAACCCGTGTTCTTCCGTCCTGCAGCCCTCATCCCACCGCATGATGTCCCGCAGATCGTGTTCTCCGTTGATTTGACCGTGGTTTTGTTGCTGTTTCAGGTTTCGATAGTCTGCGTGAGGAGTTGGGGCCCTCCAGAGACACCTCATTCAGACCGGACCTGACGCTCGATGACCGAGACATTATGAAGGTGAGTCCCGCGGGCGGCTGAACGTGCTACACGAGCTGCCGAGCGTGCTACAAGAGCTGGTAAACCTGCTCTACTGGAGGGAGAACGGCATGGGAAGTGAGGGGCGGCATGAAGGAAGTGCTTGAGGCGTCAGAAAGTCTAAAGGCGTAGCTTCGTGGATGGTTCATCGAGTCTCCTGCCAGCCGTATCACAATCAGCTTCGCCTGGTGGCAGAACTCTCACCAGGAGAACAGTGACGTCTTATACCTTGCCAACAAGGGATCTTGCTGCTTCATGGCGACTTAAATGATCCAGCGTTATGGGCGGACCTACGAAGCACCTTACATGGCTCAACTAGCTGTGCCCAGCCGCGCTCCAAGCCTGCGACGTGCAGCGCGCTCTAACCACATATTGCTGGAAGGTTCCTTGCCACCGTGGCAAAGAACGCCTGAGGAGACTCCCTGGCGCCGTGGCTGAGGACGCCCCGGGGCGCCGGGTGGCTCCCACGCGACCGTCGCCTGCCCGGGGCGCCGGACGCCCTTCCGGCACCGGGCGCCCGGGCGCCCGCGGTCGGAGCGCCCACCGCAGACCGTTCTGGCAGTGGCTGGACGCATTGGTCAGGGGCGATGGACGGACACCCAGGGGATGTTCCACGCGAGAACGTCGCTAGCGTGCATTTGCTAAGCGGAAGTCTCGCAAATTCCGAGGGATTCTAGTCTGTCTGCAGCGTTGTCACGGAGGCTCGTCTGTTGCACTTAGTAACGTCCTCGGTCGCCAATGTTGCATGGTAATCTGCCAGACAGTCTCGCCACGCAGCTGTCTGAGCCACCGTCTGCCGATTTCTCCCGCCGTTGCAATCGATCGTCCACGCTCTGTTGCGGGGTGCACGGGTTGTGGTGTGGGACACGCGACCGTCCGCAGCTGGTCTGAGGCTGAGCTGGCGGCCGGAGCACCTGTGTGGGACACGCCCCGCGCCCGCATCCCTCGGAGCACGGCACGACAGGGTGTTCGGCCTACCCTGCTGCACAGCACAACTTCTACAGGGGATGATGGCACCCGGGTCCACTGGGGGACTTCCCCGCTATATTTGGGTGCTGATTCAGCACTGGAGTATCGAAACACAATGAGACTCGCGTCAGTCCGTGTGGGGTGTAACGTTACGCCGACCCGCAAGTGGCGACTGTTGCAAATGCTGCTGCCTTTGTGACTGGTATACCGCTGTACGGCCAGACTTTTGACAATATCGTGTAGTTCGTGCCATTGCGAACACCTTGCCACGATCTAGCCCGATTCCGCTTCCGTTACATTTTTGTTTTTCCGCTTTTTATCAACACCGGCTGCATTCTCCACCCTTTGTCACACGACTCACGACATCGCACTATTGTGCCCGTCACGGAACCCTTTCGTGACGGTCTTGGCGTGACGAAACGGGTAATTGTGAAACACAAACGTGGTCGACTTTCGGATGCTGACAAACTAGCAGTAGGAACCGCTGGACATCCGCAAAAATGATCACCACCAGAACTCGATGACACTTATTTGAATGTGTTTAGGCAGGTATCGCCGTTTTGCTCGATTATCGCCACCAATTCGCAGAAAACGGGCCGATTCTCATAAACGTCAAACTGCTCCAAACTTGTCTGGAAACTCGTCGGTGTCCACAAATGCTTGACGTTGTCATGCTTCTTGGACCGCATCAGATGTCTTCCATTGTCAAGATGCCTTCTGCCGGCCGAAACCACCAGCCAGGGTCTGTTCTGTGTGTGAATCGCGGTCGAAAGCGTGCGAATCCTGACCGGAAACGTCGCCCGCCGGCGGGCGCGGGCCGAACGGCGGAGTTCGCGGGCTGCTGGCGTCGTGGTGTGGGGACCGGACCGTTTGGAAGCTGGGGCGGCTGTGGGAACAGTGGGACGCGCGGCACGGGCGCCGCGGTCGTGCGGCTCCTACGGCACGATCGTGCGGTTCCCGGTCGGACGCGGGATGGCCGTTGACTATGGTTATTGGTTACAGTGCTTGGATGTTACGAAATTTGACACGTCCGAAGAAGTGATGTGGGGTAATGCTCACATGATCGAGTTGCTGTCACCTCCCGAAGCTCAAGTCTGGCGCTTTCACTGGGCGTGGCTCTGTGCTGGGGTTCGTCGCCCCGTACCCCGTCTGCCGTCCCCCCTCCCCCCCCCCAGCCTCCCTGTCTGTCGGCGCCGGCGGGTCGCCGCTGCGTCGTTCCGTCGCTGATGGCCGTCGTCTCCGTCGGCCGGTCGTATCAGCCCGACCAGGCCCGGCCGGCTGACGGCTCCGGTCGCAGTGGTTCACAGTTCACCGCTCAGAGGGGGGCTGCAGCGAGTGGGGAGAGGCCCGGTCGGTGACTGACGAGCTGATGGGACTCGCTCAGGGTTATAGCGCTCCCCGCTCTTGAGTACTGGCTGATGGACGCCCGGTTATCGATCCACCCTGAAGCGACGTTTTGAGATTCCCGTATTTCACGGATCGGTGGGTCTGCCAATGTATCCTCCGCGATCTCCGTCATGCCGTTGAACCGGGTGTTTCGGATCTCTGTGGCGGCGCCGGCGGGGTAGCGGCTGAGCGGCTACCACGACAGAGTGGCGGCGACCGTCGCGCGCCCCAGCACCAGCTGGGTTATTGATGGCGGCAGACGGCCACCAATTTGTCCGATGGTGTTTTCGCCCGCTGCCAAACGAACTCTGAACGCGCCCGACCGGTTATTGGCTTACCCGAGAAATGGGGCTCACTTTCACTTTCGTTTTCACTGAGACTTAGATGGAGCAGATAGTTTGTCTTTCATTATCTAGAACCTTTTGGTGATATGGGTGGCATTCAGCCATCTTACATTATCTCTCCGATTCCCACTCACCTTATGTTCGTTGGTGTTACCACCGATGTCGCCGCCCCTACTTCCTCGTGCCCTGATGGGTCCAGGACCACCCAATACCAGGTCAGTGGATCCTCCTGATCCCCGTCTGCCCCTGATCCTCTCACCTCCCAAAAAACGCTCCGTGACCGCGCCGGGCGTGCGTGGCTGCGGCGCCGGCGGCCCCGCAGCTAATCGACGCGCCGTTTTTTGTGCGCCTGTCGCCGCCGGCGCCTGGTTTCAGGCTCCGGGTGGCGGACGGTGGTACTGGACAGGACTGGGACAGGGGTGGTGGTAGTGGAGTAGTTTTTTGTGGGATTTGATAACCGGTTTGGTGGTAAGCGGTGTCTCTGGTCGCCACAAAAAGTGGATGATACGATCCGCCTGCTCCCTGACGGGCGGAGACGCACCAAAGGAGACCGCACTGTGTCTGATCGGGTCAGGAGTGTGGTCTGGCCGTGCGATTTTTTGTCGACTTGGGGAGTTGGTAAGATGATGAATTTCTGATTTTGTGGAGAACTAACGCTTATGTTTTTGTTTCTGATGCATCATTCATTAACTATTCATAGCGTCTAGTCTTAAATGTTGTGCTAAATTAAGCACAGATACGTCAATGCTCATAGTGCATTCATATCACTAGGCCACCTAAGCCGATAAATCCGCACAGCACCGCGCCGGCCCGTGTTGCCGTGTGTTTTGACACTCCCCAGTCCCCGTAGCGCCTCGCGGCTCAGGCCGATCAATACCTAGCCACCTCGCCGCGCACCCCTCCCCTCCCCTACCCCTCCCCTACCTCCTTCACTCACCCCTTCCCCATATGATCGCCCTGTGATTGGTGCGTACGCAATAACTCGGCCGACACGCTTTGATCTCGCCGCCACCACTCAGCACCGGAAAGGTAGCACTTCCGGTGGCGAAATCGGTCTGGACATCCATCTAGTTTGAACCCTGAATGGGTTAATTGTCTCGCTGTTTTCGAAAGTGGTCCCTACTCGGAGAAGGTATTCGATAATCCCAGGACATAAACAGAAATATTTCCCCGTTTGGTGTTCAAATGGTTGCATCAGACTGCCTTGTTTTGGTAATGGCCTCATAAGTTCCACAATCGTTTCCCTCAAAAATGGTTCGGCCACAAACAATTTCGGCTCGTTTCAGCCACATTGATTCGGCGATCCGTGTCGTTTAGCTCGGCCCCGGCGTTTCGTGGCTCGGAGGCCGTTAACTCGTTAGTACCCGTCAGACCACTTAGAAGCCATCCGCTCGGAGTCTGAATAATGATTGTGCCGATTTGAAAGCGGCCGCCCATGAATCTCTATGACGCTGGCCGCTTTGTATACCGCCGCCTGCGGAGAGTGCTGCTGATTAGCCGGGCGGTGACCTGTCATCTGTCAGAGCAGTCAGCTGACGGCTGACAGACGGCTGACTGGTGACAGTGCCGGCGGCGGAAGGGTTGGCGGAAGGGCGGCCGCCGGGCGGAACCGGACGGCGGGACGCCCCTCTCCGCGGGTAACGAGCGATATCTGCCCACCGTGACCGAATGATAGGGAGTGGGGAGCATGGGCCGACCGTGAAACACGAATAAAATTAACCAACAGGCCTGGGACGTGTGGGATTAGCTGGGGAGTTTGCACCCAGCTGGTGGAATGAGTTCCGTGTTGTCGCGTGTTGTGCTCCGTATCTATTGACTCAAACTTTGACACGCTGCGCTAAAATCGCTCCCGTTCGCACGGCGGCGAGCGGACGCATGTTTGTTTCTCACCGAGTCCGCCTGTCGCCCGGATCAATTTCAAGGTCTGTAATGTCATTCATCACTGCCTGTCGCCCCGAGTTAGTGCCATTCCCGGCGGTTTGTCCCGATGTGACCGGGAACCGTGACCGGCCGGCCGCCCCTGGCCCGCCCGGCACTGCACGGCTGCCCTCAGTGACGTCAGATGACGTCACTGGGGTGGCGGGGCGTGTTGCCGGGCGTTGCACCTCGGTACCTATGGCCAGGTAATGGCGGACGAAGGGGCCGGCCGACGCCAGTAGACGTTTACGACTTCTAGGAACGGTGCAGCCGACGCCGCCCGGCCCGGGCCGCGGCCGGTGCAAGCATGGCAGGCGAAACAGGCGAGGCACATGAGAATGGATTGGGGAGTTCTGGAAATGCTAC